CGTACACCTGTCACGCGCCACCGGCGGCGGCACAGGCGCCCGAGTACCGCGCCGCGCTAACTACTCGCGGAGCACCACCAGAGGGCCCGCGGGTCGTACAGTTACGCGTAAGTGAAAAATGGTTAGGAGGGCCATATAGGCCCCGGGACGCGGTCAACGACCGCACTTGTCTCGCTCTATATTGAGCCGCCGCAACGGAACGCATCCGGATAACTAGGCGCAAGGACAAGGGACGACAGGGGCCTAAAAAGCCGCTGTCACGAGCAACAGATAGCAGTGTTCTGCTTCGAGCTAAAACCAACCAGATAGCAGCAGGGTCCTGCTTCGCGCTGGACTACCAGGAGACGACACGGGCAGGAGCCCTGTCTCGAGGCCAATCGACGACGATCGAGTGGAAACTCCTTCCACTCGACTCGTCTCCGGTTCGGAGGACCAGACCACCAAGGAACCTACTACAGCCAAGGGATATCCGGGTCTGGCGGTACACCTCACCGAGGCATCACCGGGAGATACCGCGAACTCCAGGACGAACTCCGGAGCCTTCGTCGGCAAGCGAGTGGGAGTCGCCTGTGAAAGCGGCTCCCCCGCAAGCAGTACCGGAAACACCAACGCCTCAGCCGATCCGGGTCTCCCTTCCTCTGGAGACGGTACCTCAACTCCTGCAGGCAGCACCGGGACCCGCCAAGGAATCACCAGAGGTCCAACGCCCCTCACGACGGGCCAAGAGGCGCGCCAACAAGGCGCAGGAGGATCTGCGTTGGGGGCCCATAAGAACCACCAACACGCAGCCTCCTCTCCAGTGGCGTGAACGTCGCCGCTAAGGCGTCGGAAGACGCCGGCCTTCGGGCCAACAACCGGCCTCCGGGCCAACAACCGGCCTTCGGGCCCATATACCAAAGACCGCGCATACGCGCCGTGTATATACTTGTAAATAGTAGAAATAAACGTATCGTACAACAAAAATTGCCTCTTGACTCATAACGCCTTAAACTACTGAGCTCTCCTAAACCTGACACAAGCGACGTGGGTGGCGTCTCATACAAGACCCCCACAGCGGTTATTGCAAATAGATTGTTTGGTGCGACGAAAACGGACAAATTTCACATGATTGTTTCACAAACTGTGAGGCAATAGTAATGGACGCAAATAGAAACATCATTAGAAAAGGTATGCATTTGTGTATACAAGAAAGACAATTACATTTAAAACTAAGCTTGAATTATTTAGATTCTGTAGGAACCCTTTCGTATATCGATGAGACTGCAGGTGAAAATAGCACTGACTTGAATAACATTCAAGAAAGTGTCTGTGATAAAGAAAATGAGATTCCTGAAGAAATTGCTCAGAAAGAACAGCTGGATGAAGATTTAATTAGTGTGGTAGAAGAGAAACCAGTTTTATATGATTTTCGTTTACCAGTGAAAGAGCGAGGAAGGAAACAAAAAGAATATTTATAGCAAAAAGTCAGTGAATGTTTGAAAGGTAACATTTATATTTATTTATTATATACTTATTCATTTCCAAAATATATATATATATATAACAAATTTACATACATATATATTTCTTAATTACATTGTATACCGTAGGTTTATATACCGCTGCTGAAGCAGAAAAACGATGGAACTATTTAAAAGATTGCTATAGAAAGGCAAGAAATATTTACAAAAAGCAGCAAAGTATTGTGCAAAAAAGTGGTGCAGCCGGTGTACCAAAAAACTGTGAAGTAAAACCATCCTCATCCTCATCCATCTCATCGACAATCCGTTTGCAATAACCGCATTTAAATTCTTGAAAGAAATCATTAATATAGGATCAATTTTTTGTGCTTTTAATATTAAATGATTGAATTTGTATTAAAATACATGTGAAATAGCTTTTTAACTGTTTAAATGTTTCATTCTTACATATAATAATACATACCTTCAATGACATTTTTTATTTGCAGTTAAAAATAAAGTGACACTCTTGTCAACTTTGATCACTCGTATTTAATACTGTGTTAACTGAGCGCAAAAAGATCAAAAACTGTTCACACCGATATCGCGTGCACACGATCAGAAAAATATATTGAAATAAACTTTAGAAATTTCGCACGATCTTTGCCAATTTCTCGAGGTTGCTCGAGGTTAGCAATCATTCCGTTTCTTTTCCGTTCCGAAATTGATCCGTGACGTGGGGAACCCATCTATTAAAAAACGAAACGGAATTACTCTGATTGGCTAACCCCCACCATATCTCTTTTCCGTAATTATTCCGTTCCGCTATTTCTTTCTTCGTGGGGATGCAGCCTTAGGCACAAAAGTTATTAGATACTAGTTTGTAGTTACTCAATTTTTTTCTGAGCTGGGTTTTGGGAGACTCTCTCTTTCTCTTAGGTTCTGAAGGCGACGCTGACCTCCTGTGCTGGAAGAATACAAAAATTGGAGGGGACTTCTGACCCCCACTACAGAAGTTCCCAAACTGTTTGACTCCGTTGTACTTGGATCCTAGAGATCCGATATCCAGAGGGGAATAAGAAGATGAAGAAGAATCTACGTCGCTTTTGCGTGCGAACCGAGCGAGCGAACGAACGGTCGAGCTAACGTGTAAACTATCGAGCGAGACGACAGAAAGAACGATAGGTTTCCGGCCCGGGAACTTCGCCCAGAACGTCGAGAGGAGAATCGTGCCGGTGAGGTGACCCTCTGTTTTGGAGCCGTAAAGCCACGGGTATGCCGAAGAGCGTATTCGCATTCTGCGAATACGCCATTTTTGTGTTAGAGTCCTGTCGCGTGCGCTCTTTTGGCGACACATAATTCGTGGAGTTCTAGTGTTGGCGTTTGTCCTCAAGTGCGGGGGTTCCTTCAGGGTCTTGCCGTGAGTTGCCGGAGGTACCGTGTGTCGAGTATTGAGCCACCCTGAGATCGTCACCGCGAGTATGCCGCAAAGCCCTCACGCACGAGTGCGCGAGTCGTAGCGTAAGTGCGCGTGTACTTGAATCCGCGATCGAGTAGTAGTCCCGGGTATTACACCCGTGCGCTTGAATTCGTCGTATATCGGCGTACGTATGCTCGTATTCTGTTATTTTGTCCGTTGTGTCCGCCTCTTACCAAGGCCATTCGTTATTACTTGCGTGTGCGGTATTGGTACCCGCGTAGTACCGAAATCAGTACAAAATTACCTTTTTAAAAAAGGTAAAAAAGGCGCTAAGAGTACGCATTCTTTAAAAAAACTGTAGTATTAAATTTAAAAAATGAAAATGATATTGTGATATAGTAGCTATTATAGGCCGGTTCTAACT